GGGAGGGATACCATTGGGGGGGGGGGAGGGGGGTCGGTGAACCGAGAACCGGGATCATATATTATACTCTACTCTACTTTACTATGCTATGGTATGAAGGTAATCCCAGAAACCTTCTGATGATTCAGGCCCCCCATACTATCTCTTCGAAGCCACGCAGCCGGGCATGTGGGGCCGGTCGCAGCACGGTGAAACGGCCTTCGGGAGAAGGCTATGGGGTGTCCACAATAGGAGAGTTATGAGAGGTTTAGGATATGAGTTGTGATTAAGGGTTTGGGAGAAACCAGAAACCCGGTAGTCGAATCAGGGACACACTCATCACCTCCGTCGGAGTTTTCGTGTTTTTCAAAAACAAAACGAAGCGCGCCATGCAACCAAAATCCGGAGTGCAGTCACCATCATCTTCTTCACAGACACCATCACCAAGATGAGCAGCATCCATTGACCAAGCATCATGGACCTGTATCTGGTCAGGCAATATAGTGTAACAAGCAGTGTATATATATATATATATATACATTATTCAACCAGCTTGTCCTGTATAAGATTGAAGTTATAAGATAGATATATTCATGATACAAAATCTTGCCCGAGTCTACGGGAAACTAGGGTGCGTGGACAGAGCCGCGTGGCTTCACCAAGTCCGCAGCGTGAAGAGATGTCAGACATATTCGGCTCCCTCTTGTGCACGTTTTAGGGTTTAGGGTTTAGGGAGTTTAGGGTTTAGGGTCTGTTGAATTCGAACCTTGGCCCTGGCAATGGCGACTGCAAGCCCTTTGCAGGCGGGATATCCAGAAGCAGCCAAGGCGCTCTGCCCCGTCAAACAGGCCCAGATCGCGCTGCCCAGCGAGGTGGGGGTTCCCGATAATAGGACAACCTAACATAGTATCCCAAATAATAGGATCCTGATCATAAAGACCCCAAGATAAGGTATCCCTTATTCTCGGAAACTCCCAGGTGGTGGAGTACCGCGTGCTGCAGCGCAGCTTAGTGAAGCGGCCGGGCTCCAGCCCCACAGGCCCGAAAACAGTGAAGCTGACAAGACCTGTGGGTTCCGTGATGTTCACCACTGGTCGTACCTGGACGGGGCCACAAGGAGGGGAGTGACCCGAAGCACTAAACCCTAAAACCCTAAAACTCTAAAACCCTAAAACCCTAAAACCCTAAACCCTAAACCCTTAAACCCTAAACCCTAAAACCCTAAAGCCCTAAACCCTGAAACCCAAAAACCCTAAAACCCTAAGCCCAAAAGGAGGGGAGTGGGTGGAGCTCGACAGCTTCGTGGAAAAGCCGGGATGGCTCTTGGTTCAAGGCCCGGGCTTCGGTATTCCTGGGCCTTTGCTCCAGCCTCCAGATCCCATTACTATAGGGGCTTTTACATGATTACTTATAGTATTTTGGGGGGGCTCCTTATCAAGTATTTTTTGTATAATATAAAGCAAAACCCTAGTCTAATTATTGAGGCCTCTTATTTTACTTCAGTTGTAAGCCTTTTCTATTATGCTTTTGTTGCTCAGGGATGATAATGTGTACGGGTTTAGCGTGGTGTTTTTCGTATGTGGCAGTTCTCTAAAAAGGCGCATTTTTCGGGTCCTTTTTTGCAAGGATGCCGTGTTATTTTGGGTGACCTGAAAAGGGCCCCTGATTCAGAGAACGACCCATGTGAAGCTTGAAGCAGATTCTCAATGTCCTGACAGCCCAGGCGCGTAAAGCCCGGCGAGGCTCCGCCCCTGCTTCTGCGTGTCGCAAAGCCGGTGGAGATCGGCTGTGCCCGGGAAGAGGAGGGAATAACAATACTAAGTATATCGAGTTTAGTAGTTCTAGAATATTCTAAAGTGGACAATCGTATATGATAACTGACTGTCCTAGAATCTAGAAGAGGAGCGGGAGATGCGGGAGATTGTCGTCAGTCCCACTGCGAATGTCCGAGATGCGAAGGAATGGATCGCCCTGATCTTCGGATTGTCGGACCCCCGTAGGATCATCGTGGGAAAGCCGACTGATGCCAGAACTCGTGCTGCTGTAACGGGCGCCGGATTTCATATCAAGTCTTGCG